ATGTGCAAGCACTAAATGCATCCATCTTCAAGTACCCCACTTTGGTTTTCAAGCAAAAAATCCCAGAATTTCTCCATATATTCCCACCATTGCCACTATTTGTGATTGCTCTGCTTCTTGAAACAGAGAAACTTTTCATGGGGTTTCATAACTTGGTTCTGCTACTCTGTTTTGCTTCTTGGTGCTTGTGTTCTGCTTCTCAGCTGCAATCATCTCAAGTCCAAGTGCTTCTTCAGCTGAAGAAGCACTTGGAGTACCCAAAACAACTAGATATATGGAAGAATCGTTGGTCATCTTTTTGCTCTTCTTCTCCTTCTTCACAAGTAAATGTCACATGCCAGGGAAGTTTTGTCACTGAACTAAGCATAGTGGGCGATGCTAACCCATCAAAGGTTAGTGATTTTAATGGTTCTCCTATTCCGAATCAGACATTGTCAGAAAACTTCTCTATGGATTCTTTTGTGGCTACTCTTGCCAGGTTAACTAGCTTGAAAGTCCTTCGTCTCGTTTCTTTGGGCATGTGGGGTCCGCTACCTAATAAAATCCAGAGACTAAATGAGCTTGACCATTTGGACTTGAGTTCAAACTTTCTCTATGGGTCAATCCCTCCAAAGATTTCTAACATTGCCAATCTTCGAGTTCTTGCACTCGATGACAACTTTTTCAACAGTACAATTCCCGTTTGGTTCAATTCTTTGACTAATCTGACAGTTCTTGGCTTGAGTAATAACAGATTGAAGGGTCAGTTAGGAGACTTTAGTGCTTTGAGTGCTTTAGAAGTGCTGGATTTGAGAGAGAATAGATTGGCCTCTACACTGCCAAATATGCCAAAAGGGTTAATGAGGCTTTTTCTGAGCAAAAACTCGTTCTCAGGTGAAATTCCCGAGCAATATGGTCAGCTAAATGGACTTAAACAGCTAGACATTTCATTCAATACACTCACAGGATCGCCTCCTTCTGAGATTTTCTCTTTGCCCAGTATCGTTTTCTTGAATTTGGCATCAAATATGTTAAGTGGCTCCCTTCATAGCAATCTAAAATGTGGCAGCAAACTCAGATTTGTTGATATCTCACACAACAAATTGATGGGTTTCTTGCCTTCTTGTCTGGGAACAGAGTCAGAAAACAGGGTTGTTAACCTTGAAGGAAATTGCTTATCCTCCAAGTTTCAGCATCAGCATGCAGTATCATACTGCACAGAGGTTCATGTGAAGAAGAACACTTTCAGAGTTGGAATTTTAGTTGGTGTAATTATTGGAGCTTTTCTAATAATAGTGGTTCTGGCTCTGGGCATTGTTGTGTGCGGAAGATGTTGCCATAGAGGAATCTCAGAGCAGCATCTATTGAATAAAACAGTTCAAGATAGCTCGACAACTGCAGTTGGGCTCTCCAGTGAGATTCTGGCTAATGCAAGTAGGTTGTCTTCATCTTTTAACACACAAACACACACGACTCAAATATTGTCTGATCTTATTCTCACATGATTTTGTCCTAAAAGTATTTGACTTGCTATTTGCTAGTCTTTGAAAGATGTACATTTGTTCTGTTTCTCATTAACAGTAAAATTCCGGTAGGATTGAATTGTGCATTTCCTCTCATCAAAATCTTGGGTGAATAATAATCTTTTTCTGGCCATTATTGAGAACGAACATAAGCAGTGATTGTAGTTTTAATTTTTTATTTGCCAATTTTCAGGATTTATTTCTCAAGCTTCCAAGTTAGGCAAAGAAGAGCTGCCCGTGTGTCGGCCCTATTCTCTTGAAGAGCTCAAACAAGCTACAAATAATTTTCACGACTCTACCTTTATGGGTGAAAATTTATACGGGAAGGTAATACTCAATTGGAGGCAAAACTTACTGTTCAGTTTCTAAGTGTCATTATCTGGTTCTCTAATAATAACCTGATGCGTGCGTTTTCTTATAGCTCGAAGCCATATGGTTAAATCTTTAGCATTCGTTACTCATGAAAATTTCTCCCTTGTGTTGCAGCTTTACAGAGGAAAGCTAGAAAATGGGAAGCAAGTTACAATAAGGAGCCTGCCATTGTCAAAAAAGTATTCATTCAGGAATTTCAAACTGAGGTTGGATTTGCTTGCAAGGCTTCGTCATCCTCATCTTGTATCTCTTTTGGGTCACTGCATTGATGGTGTTGTAGCAGAAAATAATGGCACAAACGTATTTCTCATATATGAATACGTTCACAATGGAAGCTTCCGGAGCTACCTATCTGGTAAGACCATCACTTATAAGTTAACTTTCTGAAGTGCCTGAAAACCTATTTATATGGGGATGATGATGACGTTTCATGCCAAATTTCCAATCACTTAAGAGATCAGATTATCACCTGCATACTAAGCAATACCTGAAGCAATTATAACAATGAATGAAACTTCGGCCTCAAGGAATTCAGTTTCTGAAGCTGTTGACTTTGTATGCAACTTTTTAATTAAGTCAGGATTGTATGTGTAGGAACAAGTTCCGGCAAGGTCTTCAGTTGGTCTGAGAGATTGGCGGTTTTGGTTAGCATTGCCAAGGCAGTTCACTTTCTGCACACCGGGATGATACCCGGCTTCGTCAAGAACCAACTCAAAACGAACAATATATTGCTTAATGAGAATTGGACTGCGAAATTGAGTGACTATGGATTGTCCATTATCTCAGAGGAAGCTGACATGAGTGAGGTATGGCTTCTTGTTTCTTTTTCCTTGTTGGTCTTGCAAAACGTTGTTCATATCAGTGATTACAATTTATCTTGTGTTTTGTAGGGAAAAGGAGAGAACGCTGGATCATGGTAAAGATTTCCATTGATTAAAGTAACTCATTAATTCCTTGGTACACAAGAAATCAGATGAATTCTGATAGATTTATCAGAATTTCAGCAGTAGTTGAATTTTTTTTTTGGGCAAGTCCTTCTTTGAGTTTTATACGTGTGAGTGATTTTCTCAATATCTGTAATTTCAGGGAAATGAAAAGATTAGAAGATGATATTTATGGCTTTGGATTTATACTTCTTGAGGCACTTCTTGGACCTTCAGTATCTGCTAAAAAAGAAGCAATCTTGCCAAATGTAATGGTATGTATTCGTCTTGTTTGGTGTATAGAATTAAGACAATGGAAAGAAAATAAAACAAGAAAAAAAATAGTTTTGTGGATAAAAATGACACTGTCCTTTTTAAAAAAAAAAAAAAACTGATGGGTAATCATAAATAAGGATATAATATATGTTGTATATCTCGTTATTTGCGTAATAAAATTTTTTTTCTTTTCCATACCAAATTGGGCCAGAATACATGCATGATTATTCATAATAATCACACAATAACTGGAAAGATGTTACAAATCCCACTTCATTCAATTTTTCTTTTTTCTGCAACAAGTTCCTTAGCCATGTAATCAGATCAGTTCTCATGCATTAATGAGCTGTATTGTTTATGATTTAAAAACTTCATCATTTGAAGTTGATGATTTCTTTGGGGTTGGGTTCGGACCGATGAAGTTTGTTAATTTAGCACACTGAATTATATTACTGTAAATTGCAGGCGTGTTTCAACAGTGAAGATGGGTGGAAGCAGATAGTGGACCCAGCAGTGCAAGCAAGTTGCTGCCAAGAATCTTTGTTCATTGTGATTTCCATCACAAACAAAAGCATTTCCACTGAATCTTGGAGCCGACCATCCATTGAAGATGTCCTTTGGAACTTACAATATGCTTCTCAAGTTCAAGCAAATTCTGATGCAGATCACAGATTAAATCCTACCACACCACATCATCAGTAACACAATTTTGAAACTTTTTCTTCTGAAACATGACAACAATGGTTTTGATTCTGTGGGTGGTGACAAATATACCAGTTAGGAACCAAATTCATGTTCATTCAACTATGTGCCAAATTTCTTAACTTTTGTGAACACCAATGATTATTACCATATATCGTCCCTCTAATGGCTCTTGAAGCAAATTTAGTTCTGATAACTTTGGTATAGGATTTGGATCTATATGGTTCTTAAACGGGGACTTCCAAGTTTTACTTACATTCCTAACATTTTCAGGAGAAAATACAACAGCCCTCTCTAGATATAGCCAAAGTTTTATCTCAGCTGACTTTTGCAAATTTTGAAACTAGTGTAAAAGATAGTTAGTTTAGTGTAATTTATATTTAAATAGACTTTTATGAAGAAAAAAACCTTAGTTTGACAAACTAAAACTTGTTTAAATGATATAATTGCAAAGTAAATTAAAATGTAAAGTGACTGAAAATAAGATAAGTTTTATTAAATACTCCTCTGGTCCTTATTATAAGACCCAATTTGACTTTTTATTTGGTCCTAATTATAAGACCCAATCCATTTCTCTTTTATATTATGCATTTTTTCCAAGATAATCCTTTTAATAATGATAGTTTTAGTCAATATACTTAATTAGCAAGGATATTTTAGGAATAACAACACTTATTTATTATAAATAACCAACTTAATTTACTTCCTTAATCTCCTCAAATAAGTCAATTGAGTCTTATAATTAGGACCGGAGGAGTACATGTATTTATATACTATATAATTTGATAATTTCAAGAGAAATATTAAAATTAAAATTATAAAAATAAAAAGAGTTAATGTATATTGAAAAGAAATTGTAAATACTACAAAATTTAAGTGGATATATTTAATATGTTTTTTTGGACATATGGCTTTCGAATACTATTTCATGTTTTTTCCAATTTAGAGTATATTTATTTTTTCTTTTATTAAAACAAGGTGAGACTCACATTTTAAAAGATTTTTTTTCCGTTTTTTTTTTCAGCGTCATTTCCCCCTTCTCTCTCCACGTTAGTGACACGGCTTTTTTGTTTTTTGAAAAAGCAATATAAAGACTAAAGATACATCACTTTTAACGTAAGTTGGTTGGGCCAGAATTGAGCTGTAGAAAACATTATGCCAAACACAAGTGAAAAGGTCTAAAACAGCTTTTGAAGTACAAAATATCCGCTTACATGCCTCAACCTTGATGCCAAACACATTAGAGGAACTGAATGTGAAGTTGAGATACCATAGATATGAGAACAATGAAGTCAGTGGTATTTCCCAGTAAAAATACACAGAATTGGAGAAAAAGAAGTATTAGATACCCTGCTCAAGCATTGCTCTCACCCTTGTTGTAAGGCCATATATCTGTATAAACCCAGTAGCATCAGCTTGATCATAGATTGGGTCATTCTCAAAAGATGAAATATCTTGCCTGTACAAGCTGTAAGGGCTGTTCCGGCCAGTCACAGTAATAGAGCCTTTGTATAGTTTCAATGTCACAGAACCTGTTGTGGTTGCTGTGATCTTCTCCATGAAGGCATCAATGGACTCTCGAAGAGGATCAAACCACTTTCCCACATACACTAACTCTGCATATTTCAAGGCTAATGAATCTTTCACTTGGATTGTTTCTCTGTCAAGTGTCAAACACTCTAACTCACGTGTTGCTGTGAAAAGGATGGTTCCCCCAGGAGTTTCATAAATTCCTCGAGCCTTCATACCCACAAGCCTGTTCTCGATCATGTCGGCCCGGCCAACAGCGTGCCTTCCCCCAATTTCATTGAGTTCAGAGAGCAAGGATGCTGGTGAAAGCCTCTTCCCATTAAGCAAAACAGGTAATCCTGACTCTATCCCAATTTCCACATATCTGCAAGATAGCAGAAACTTGAACACTATGAAGCACCAATATTAATAATATAGATATGTGACACTATATACACGGGAAAGAAATCACCACTAGACAAAATATTCAATGTTTAATTGCAATTCGAAGTGCGTAGTCCGATACTGTTTTTAAAGTTTTGGGGCTTCATAGCAGAATAAGAGCATAAGGATTTATATACTCTGCTTGATTTGGAGCATCCTCTGGATCCACAGATATCATGTACATTTCCTTTTTCGGCTCGTTTGCTAGGTCTTCCAATATATCACCCTTCAGCGTCACACAGATTGCGAAAATAGCAGAAAGCAATATCAATATCTGTATGCCTATAATTTCTGGTTTTTAGGACTCAGCAAAAAGAATAACAGTAGATACATTAACCTACATATTTGGAATACGAAAATCAAATTATGCATTCAATTTGATGATTCAAATGTCATAACTAATCAAACCATTGGGTTCTTTTAATAATCTCAAAAAGCCCTGGAATTAAAAACAAACGTAAATTAAAAAGATTTATAGAGGTTTATTATGGTAACATCCAGTACTAAAAAGAAGATACCTTGGAATTACTTACAGTAAATTTGCTTAATTAGAAGAATCTGTATACTTATGTGAAACCTGGAACAGATTATTATACGTCTCAATGACTTGCAACCTTGGAAGTCTCTTTCATTCAAGCTTCTAGCCAAAAAGAGAAAAAGACATGTAGAAAATAAAACATAACAGAGGAAACTGCCCATACATCTCCTCTATTTTCAAAGGAGGTTTATGTACACTTCAAATATATATGTGAAAGACTAGTACATTTCAACAAAACTCAATTGAAATTTGGGTCATTTGCTTTTCGTTTTAAGGAAAATCTATATATAGGTTTTGAAAATAAATAAGAAACCTTTGTAATTTTACCTCATGACTAAGGTGCCAAATGTTTCTGTCTCTGCTGTATATGGACTTTTTTGTCACAGGAACAGGCACTTTATGCTTCTCTGCATAGTCAATAGCATCTTCCCTACCTGTAATGTCCCACTCCCTCCATGGAGCCACAACACTAAGCTTGGAATTCAAAGCTAAGAATGTGAGCTCAAATTGAACCTATATGATACTAACTTGTGTCAGAAGAAAAAAAATGGCACAACAAAATCTTTGGACGTAATTCTAAGACATGCCTGATCATTTCCTTTCCCAGTACAACCATGAGCCACGCCATCTGCTCCAACTTCTTTTGCAACATCTACCATGGTCTATTAGCAAATATACATAAAAATAACAAAACAAGTATCTTAGATAAGGACCAAGTTCTTCTTCTTCTCTCTATTAGGAGAAGTGCTTGTGGAAGAGAGACACAGCCATGTGGGCTCCACACAGAGTCTGGGTTTTAACTGACTATTTCTTTTCTCTCTTCGAAAAACGTGTACTTTTAGAAGTTGAGAGACCTGACACATCAGAATTTGACTTTATTTTCTTTTCCTCTTTTTCACCAAAAGATTTATGACTAAAAAAGGCACTAGGTTGAAATTAGAAGGCCAGAGCCTAAAATCGTACCAACCATTAGCTGAAGAAATGTGAATACAGTTAATACTGTTATTGTTTCTATCATAGGAGCTGATTGAATATATCAAACTTAGAGGCAAAAATGTTTCAAAATATACTTTTGCCATAAGAGGGCGAGCCATTGCAGTCCCTAGAAGATACTTTCTCTCATATATTGCACCAGCACGCAAGCAAGGGAATATATAATCCCGAACAAATTCCTCCTTCAAATCCTTCACTACTAACTGAGAGGCTCCACTGGCTTTGGCCTTCTCTTCTAAACCTTCAAATTCTTTTTCACCCTGTAGAGTTTGACGTTAAATATCAAACACACAGAAAAGAGAATAATATAGGCGTAGTAAACTTCATTGAAATATACAATCATGAAGCATCTTTTCATCTTTTCCAACAACACAAGAATAGCATTGATTATAGGAAATGATGTCTATTAGTTATAACATACTTGGCCAACATCAGCTGTGAAGCAAACGACATCACAGCCATAATTCTCTCTGCAAATTAAAGGTCATCGAAGAAAGGAATTATAACAAGAATGAAATGATATTAGGCGCAACCAAGCATCAATCACGTGACAAATAAGCTTTTAACAGTAAAACCAGAGTTAAAAAAAATATCTGAATTAAAAAAAAAAACTAAAGATCCCCATTATTTCCCTTCCATGCTTTTTCTACAAAAGTTCAAGTCTATTAGCTTGTCTATATCCAAATCACTATATATATTCTTCGGACTTTACCTAGTGTGCAAGGAAACGCCTCTAGTTCTCTTCAACAAATCAGTATAAGAAAAAAAGAATAAAATTCTCCATAACCCTAATTATTGTTATTCAGGATCTATAAAATCAGACAAGGGAATCAAATTCTGCAAACTTGCAACGGAAGTTTAGCTATGGTGATCAGTAAGGGTCAAAAAAACACCATATATACCTTAGCCATGGAACAATTACTGATGAGTCTAAGCCACCGCTGTAAGCTAGCACAACCTTATTTAATTTTCCACGAAGCCCGCTGCCCTTGATATCAGGAACTTTTGTTTCTGTATCGCTGGTTAAAACTGCTCTTGTTACTGCATGTCAAAAATATTTTTGTGAGACTATATGGATGTTGTGACATGATTTTAAAGCGCAGGCAAGTACGAGAAGGCGGATGAATGATTAATTTTTTCAATAACTAAAGCGAAAATTTAAATTGGAAGGGTACATAACAATTGAGATGAGATCTATTATATTGAAAACACTCTAAACATGCAGTCTTTGCTTGTTGTGGCTCAAGATCTGCATACGAGTGTAACCATGATGACCATTGTCATGCTCAGAATTGGACAACTTTAAAAACTATTGATAACAAAGATTAGCATACTATGCAAAAAAAAAAGGGGTCAAATGATTGTAATCATAACTTCTCCGAGCAATTTTAAAGCAGACATTGAGCATGAGTACAGGGGTATACATGGGTCTCTTAAAGTAAAGTAGAGTTAATGACGTTATGACTTAGAAGCATGAAAATTTTCCTGTAAGTAGGAGGCCATAGGTTTAATTTTGCTTATAATTTTCAACAATTACTATCTATCCGCCGGCCAAGAGAAAAAAAACTTACTGTCTATCCCTTTAAATCATTAAAAGAAAATGATGGAGTGGCAAATACGGAGCAGATCACTATTTATCTTCCTGTCCAAGCATAACAGAAATGAAATATAAATCTGCCAGAGGTGAGCGCATTAAGCTATATATCTGCACACGATCAAATCGCCGGTTACATATGATAAATATCTAATTAAGTTCAAATTACTATAATTTAATCCAACAGAAGATGAGTTGGATTGTATCAAAATCAAAGAAATTAAAAAAAAAAAAAAAAGAACAACGTATGAAAAGCTATGGGAAGTAATTAGAGTTGTAGAAAAAGGATATTTCTTTTGCGGTCTGTGCTCCTTTGGACACACTACGTACACTGGTGGAAAAAGAAGACAAGACAGGAAGAAAGCAACCTGGCAAAGTCGTCTAATAAGATAAAACAAATTCAATTTCCTTCACTTCAAGCATCTTGCAAGGCGACGTATAATCCTATAATTTTCGCGCAGTCAATTTATAAAAATACTGACAGGGCTCCATAACAACAGAGCATGCACGGAATGGAAGCATGACAGGCCGCCAAAGTATTATCTCTTTATCGATTAGTTCAGAGCCACGAGATGAATGAGTCAAATTCAGAATAAAAGTAAAAGTTACGAAGTTTTGAAAATAAAGGGAAAGGAAATATAATGGGACAAAAACAGAGAGAAGAAATTACGAGCAACAGGTTGTGAAGCAGGTAGCAATGGCGCTGCAGAAACTGGGGTTGCGCCCAATTTTAGTGAACGGCGATGCAAGAATTGGAATCCACTCAATTGTGAAGAGGCGAACCCAAGCTTCGAAGCCACTCTGACCCTCGACGACGTCTTGTTGTTAGGGCAACATAGATTAAACTTATTTTCCATTACCACTCCCCAAGCACCGGCAGCTGCCATTGCTTCTGATTTTCACGCTATCTTCTTTTTGCTTTTTCCGTCAAAATTTTGCGGAAAATGAAAAAAAGAAAAAGAAAAAGAGATGCCCTGTGAGGCTAGCTGTACTTTAATTTGAAAACATGGATAGCAAATAGCAAAGTGCGGAATGAATATCAGTAGCAAAACCAGAAACGGTTTCAGCAGAAGGCAACGAAAACTGAAAACATTGCCATGCACTTCATGCCCGCCATGCATTTCCCTCGTTATCTAGTTATCGCTCATCAAGTGCCACGTGGTTCCCTCACATTGGCAGAACCACGTGATAAAATTAGAAGTGGGGTATAAATACAATATAGGAAGGTCAGGCCAAAAAAAAAAACAATATAGGAAGGATGTGAATTTTATGTGTCTTTAAAAAAAACGAAAAAGAAAAGGAAAAAATATATATTATTAATGTTTTTAATTTAATAAGTTGATCAATATGATTTTTCGTTATGTATGATCGACAGAAAATTTGAAGAAGTAATAAATTGCCATAAATAAAAATTTAGTGAGGGAAATAATTAAAAAAGTAATTTAAATATTTTAAAGTTACAATATCTTTGAAATGATAATTAAAGCAGAGTGAGGTTAATCCGAAAAGAGAGTATGGAATGAATTTGCTGATTTTTAAATGTTTTTTATAGTAAGAATTTTTTTGGGTACATTTTCATTTAGAGGTTCAGTAATATTTAATAATGTTTAATAGTCTGAAATATTTTTATAAACAAAGTTTTAATGCATTAATTATGTAGGTTAGAGTTTGTTTTTTTCAATAACACCCAATATTCTAAAATAATTGCTTATACATTTATCACCCTAAAATATTTTTCTAGTAACATTTAGTATCATAAGTTTGAAGTTTTCACTGCTTCTGAAAAAACACTTCAGATAAATTATAGTACTAAAAATTACTTTAGGTTAGGTGTTACTAGAAAAATATCTTAAGATGATAAATATATCAAAAGCTAATTTAGAGTATTGAGCGTTATTGAAAAATATATTTCAGGCTGCTAAATATAACTTAACCCTTAATTTTAATTTTATGCTATAAAGATTATTTCAAGTTCTTGCTGCACGGAGATGTATTATGAGTCGTTATTCAAAAACAGAGGGAGATGTATTATGAGAATGTTTATTTCGAAATTCAAATACGCAAAACCAACATTGATAAGCAAATTCATACAAAATAAGCATGATCGTATTTGCAAGACTGCATCTATAGATCCTTAATATAAAACATTTTACAAAATTTAATAAAATGTTTATATTATACTCTTCCAATCCTTAATATAGGACCTAATTGTTGAGTTGATTTTGATCCTAAATATGAGATATATTTTTCGTATTTATCAGTTTTTTCTAAGTCACCTATATGGATACTCTCTTAACCATAATCAAATAGAAGAAGGAAGAAAGATATTAAGAAAAATGATTATAACATTTTTGAAAAAACATATCATATTTTTTATAATTAACTAACTTGTTTAATTTTCTTAATCTAATCAAATTACTAAATAGATCTTATATTAAGAATCGAACAAATAGCTCATTTTGAAAAATATCCTTACATCTTCCGGCTTTAGCTAAAATGAAGATTTTTATTGTCCTCCTCTTTCTTTATCCTCTAAACAAAGTAATTTAATACTATACCAATCAAAGAATAATTTTAAAAAGTTATACAATTTTTTATATTTAACTAATTATAATTAATTTCTACAATTTAAGAAATGTACTAATAAAGTCTATAAAAAATCAATATATACACTAAAATAGACCAAAAATTTTATGAAAAACAACAAGGTACATAGTACACTACACATTTTCTACACTAGTGAGATAAGGAATCACTGAAATGCCTTCGTACGTGCATTGTTGAAATGTAAGCCAGTGGCTAATATAAAGTCAGTGAAAAACGTTGAGCGCAACAAAACAGGCATGTTATTATTGATCAAATGCACGCAAACAAAACCAACTCCTACATACCCTTCTCAAGCATTGCTCTCACCCTCATTGGAAGGCCATAAAGCCGTATAAACCCGGCGGCATCAGCCTGATCATATATCTGACCACTCTCAAATGAAGAGATATCCTGCCTGTACAGACTACAAGGACTCTTCCGGCCAGTAACAGTAACAGAGCCCTTGTACAGTTTCAAAGTCACAGAACCTGTTGTGGTTGCTGTGATCTTCTCCATGAAGGCATCCATGGACTCCCGGAGAGGATCAAACCACCTTCCAGCATAAACCAGCTCTGCATATTTAAGGGCTAAGGAATCTTTGACTTGAATTGTTTCCCTGTCAAGTGTCAAACACTCTAATTCACGTGCTGCAGTGAAAAGGATTGTTCCTCCAGGAGTTTCATAAACTCCTCGGCTCTTCATGCCAACAAGCCGGTTTTCAACCATATCGATCCGGCCAATTCCATGCCTTCCACCAATATCATTGAGTTCAGAGAGCAAGGATGCTGGTGAAAGCCTCTTCCCATTAACTGAAACAGGTAATCCTGACTCTATCCCAATTTCCACATATCTGCAAGATAGGAATGCAGGTGTTGGAAAGTGTCAAGCCTTGTGAAACTTAACTGCTCTGTGAAGCACTGGCATTAAAATAGGTATGCGACCCAACACAGGAAAAAAATTGCCACACCACAAAATATTCAGTTTTCAACCACAATTTGAAGTGCCATGTTGCTGATGTTAGTGTAGGATACATATCACAGTCTAATATTGTTTTCGACGTTTTGGTGCTTCATAGCATAATACTGCATGCCGTCTTTAATATAAGAATTAAATAACTAATTTGAGGAGATTAGAAAAATTAGCTAAGTTGGTTAACTATAAAAAATACATGTTGAATTTTCTAGACTGCTCTTTGGAATCATCCCTTGAAGAGAAATCCTTACAATTCATATGGGTGTTTTAGAGAAAACATTATAAATTTGAGAGACATCATAAATTGAGGTTTTATATAATTATATTTATAACCAAACTTAATCTCCAACATGTTCTTATATTTAGGACCGGAAATAGTAAGGAGATAAGGATATATTTACTCTGCTTGATTCGGAGCATCCTCTGGATCCACAGACATCATGTAAAATGTCCTTTTTTGGCTCATTTACTGGGTCTTCCAAAATGTCACCCTACAGCGTCACAGATTGCAGAAGCGAGAGAAGAAAACATCAATATCCATATGTCAATTCCAATTTCTAGTTTTAGGACACCGGAAAAAGAACAAAAGTAGATGAATCAAAATAAAGATATGGAATAAAAATCAGGTTGTGCATTTAATTTGATGATTCGAATGTCATCACAATTGGGTTCTTTTAATTATTTCAAAAGGCATCGAGCCATCCTTGAAGAAACAGATGATCCAAGACCAAAAGTAAACTAAAAAGATCTGCAAAAAAGCTTATGATAGTAACATCCGGCCCTAGAAAGAAGATGCCTTAGGATCACTTGCCATAAATTTACTTAAGGAGAATAATCTGTTTGCTATTGTGAAATGCGGAGCAGATATTTTTTACTATAAATCCTAAAATTATACGTCAGATTGACATATAACCATGAAAATTTTTTCAGGCTTTTACCTGAAAGGGAAAAGGGAAGATAATAAAACATGATAGGGCAATTTATACGAACCTCTCCCAAACCTTCCTGAAAATAAACAAATATTCTTCCTTTTTATATTGTAATTTCAGATTAGCATGAAGAGACAGCCTGGTGCATGAAGCTCCCGGGATGGGCAGGGTTTGGGAGGGTCGAACTCACTTTTGGTCTACCATAATTTGAAAAGCAAACAAACAAAAAGACATGACAAATCATTCGATGCTGCTAATTTCGACACTAAACACTTTACCTCATGGCTAAGGTGCCAGAGGTTTCTATCTCTGCTGTATATGGATTTCTTTGTCACAGGAACAGGTACATTATGCTTCTTTGCATATTCAATTGCATCTTCCCTCCCTGTAATGTCCCACTCCCTCCATGGAGCCACAACATTCAGCTTGGGATTCAAAGCAAAGAATGTGAGCTCAAAGCGGACCTAAAGGATGCAAACTTGTGTCAGAAGGAAAAACAATGGCACAGCTAAATTTGTGAACATGATTGTCACTTGTAAGACATGCCTGATCATTTCCTTTACCAGTACAACCATGAGAGACAGCATCTGCTTCAACTTCTTTCGCAACATCCACCATCGCCTATCAGCATATATGCATCAGATAACGATTGTTACAAGTACCTTAGATAATCGTTCATGACTTTTCCCCTTTAGGACTAAAGACTGAAAAAGTCATCAATAATGCCCTGAGAGCTAGCAGACATGTGATATTGGAGAAGAACGTTGAAATTAAAATGCCAATCTTTAATGCAGGGACTAAAATCAAATTGACCATTAACTGAAAAAATGCGATTACAGTCAATACCATTGTTTATATATAACATAGGAACTGATCAACTGTATCGAACTTAGAAGAAGAAATGACAATATACTTTTGCAATAACAGGGCGAGCCATTGAGGTCCCCAGGAGATACTTCCTCTCATAAATTGCACCAGCTCGCAAACAAGGGAATATGTAATCTCGGACAAATTCTTCCTTCAAGTCCTTCACCACCAATTGAGAGGCTCCACTGGCTTTGGCCTTCTCTTCTAGACCTTCCAATTCTTTTAAGCCCTACAAAGTTTAACATTTAATATCAAGACTGCATCAAATATAACATAGGTGTAGTACACTCCATCAGTCATAAGTTTACACTCTCAAAACATCTTTTCTAACAAAAAAGTAGTTTTGATTATAGGAAGTGAGGCCTATTAGTTATAACATACTTGGCCAACATCAGCAGTGAAGCATACGACATCACATCCATAGTTCTCTCTGCAAATTAAAGGTCATCAAAGAAAGGAATTATAACCAGGCATAAAACATCTGATAAATAGGCTTTTAACAGTAAAACCAAAATTAAAAACAAAATACGAATAAAAAATACAACATCAGTGAATTGACAGTGTTATCTACTGTTCATTATCACAAATTACATCCCGAAGACCTTAAAAAGTAAGAACCGCCCCTTTTTCCATCTCATGTTTTTTCTGCAAAACTCCAAGTCTAAAGTTTTGATCTTCTGATGTCTACACCTAGATCCCAATATACAACAAAAT